TTAGAATAGAAATGATGTTGGAGAAATTGATAGGATTGAATTAGCTTAATTGTCACATAAATTCAATGAAAAGTTTATACGTCGCCACTTACAGCATCATCTTGGGTACAACGGTACCTAGGTACAGCTTCTTTAGTTCCAAGACCTTAGAAAATAGAGAAATAAAATATCGAGCATTGCACAGATAAAAATCCAGAACAACAGTCTTTTGAACCAGACCACACTTGCACCTAGCCTCCAATCCGCACTGGGCCCTGGCTCCAATCCGCACTGGACCCTGGCTCCACATTGCACTGGGCCCTGGCTCCACACCGCACTGGGCCCTGGCTCCAATCTGCACTGGGCCCTAGCTCCAATCTGCACTGGGCCCTGGCTCCAATCTGCACTGGGCCCTGACTCCAGACCGCACTGGGCCCTGACTCCAGTCCGCACTGGGCCCTGCCTCCAGTCTGCACTGGGCTTTGCCTTGAGGCTTATGAGGCTAGGAGATCGCTCCACACTGCCACGCCAGGCCAAGAGGATGCCATGCTGTGGGGGCTGCCCTACCATGCTGGATGGCTGCACTGGGAAAATGCCAAGAATGCGACGCCACACCTGGAGGCCACTACGAAGGGCAGGAGGTCCCCACGCCAGGTGGCTGCCATGCCACGTGAGAGGCCGATGGATGAACTAGGAGGGATAAATAGGACTAGAAGGCTGATAAATCCCCAGGGCCTGGTAATCTACATCCCAGAGTATTTAAGGAAGTGGCCCTCAAAATAGTGGATGCATTGATGATCATCTTCCAAGATTTTTACAGATTGGAGGATAGCTAATAGCTAATAGCCACTATTTAAAAAGGAATGTAGAGAGAAAACAGAGAATTATAGACCAGTAATTCTGAGTTTGGTAGTCGGCAAGATGCTAGAGTCTATTATCAAGGATTTTATAGCAGAGCACTTAGTGGTATAATCAGACACAGTCAGCATGGATTTACAAAAGGGAAATCCTGCTTGACAAATCCGCTGGAATTTTTCAAGGACGTAACTAGTCGAGTTGATTAGAGAAGCCAGTGGATGTGGTCTGTTTGGACTTTCAGAAAGCTTTTGACAAAATCCTACTTAAGAGATTAAAATTAAAATACATGGCATTGGGTGTAGTGTATTGAGGTGGGTAGAAAATTGGTTAGCAAATGGGAAACAAAGGGTAGAAATAAATGAGTCATTTTCTGAATGGCAGGCATTAACTAATGGGGCACCACAGGGATTAGTAGTACGACCCAGCCATTCACAATATTTAGATGAGGGAACGATATGTAACATCTCAAAATTTGTAGATGACACAAGGGTGGGCGGATGGGTGAGATGTGATGAGGATGCAGAGATGTTGCGGGGTTATTTGGACAGGCTGAGTGAGTGGGGAAAACGAATGGCAGATGCAGTATCAAGTGGATAAATGTGAAAAATAGGAAGGCAGATTATTGTTTGAATGATTGTAAACTGAGAGAAGGGATTATTCAACCAGACCTGGGTGTCCTTGTGCACCAGTCGCTAAAAGTAAGTGTGGAAGTTCAGCAGGCAGTAAAGAAGGCAAATTGTATGTTGGCCTTCATAGCGAGAGGATTCGAGTATCAAAGCAGGAATATATTTTTGCAGTTATACAGGGCATTGATAAGGCCACACTTGGAATATTGCATCCAGTTTTGGTTTCCTTATCTGAGGAAGGATGTTCTTGCTATAGAGAGAGTGCAGCAAAAGTTTACCAGTTTGATTCCTGAGATGGCAGGACTGACATGTGAGGAGAGATTAGGATTTCATTCACTGGAGTTTAAAAAAACGAGGGGAAATTTCATAGTAATTTTTTTTTAGAATCCCTACGGTGTGGAAACAGGCCCTTCGGCCCAACAAGTCCACACCGAACCTCAGACCATCTCACCCAGACCTGTCCCCTTGTAACCCACCTAATCTACACATCCCTGAACACTACGGGCAATTTAGCATGACCAATCCACCTAGCCTGCACATCCTTGGACTGTGGGAGGAAACCGGAGGAAACCCACGCAGACACTGGGAGAATGTGCAAACCCCACACAGACAGTCGTCTGAGGCTGGAATCGAACCTGGGTCCCTGGCGCTGTGAGGCAGCAGTGCTAACCATCTAACAGGATTAGACAGGGTAGATGAAGCAAGGGTGTTCCCGAAGATAGGGAAGTCCAGAACCAGGGGTCATTGTTTAAGGATAAGAGGTAAACATTTTAGGGCTGAGATGAGGAGAAATTTCTTCATGCAGAGTGGTAAGCCTGTAGAATTCACTACCACAGAAAGTGGTTGAGGCCAAAACATTGTGTTTTCAAGAAGGAGCTAAAAGGATCAAGGGATATGGGGAGGTAGGATGAGGGTATTGAGCTCGATGGTCAGCCTGACCATATGGAATGGCAGAACTGGCCTGAGGGATTGAATGGCCAACTCCTGCTCCTATCTTCTGTCTTCCTATGAATGTTCCTACAGTCAGAAGACTTCCAAGCAACATTTGAGAAGCTGCAGGTAATCTTAATGAATGAACCAGTGTTGACTCCTCTGAATTTTCCTGTCCGTTCTACCTGGCAGTTGATGTGAGTGATTTGGGGCTGGGTGCTGTCTTGTCACAAGACGATGAGTTTGGGGATAGAGATGCTGGAGGTACTCCTCTAAGAAACTAAACCAGTCTCAGAAGAAGCACTGCAATATGGAGAAAGAGACTTTGGGAATATTGTTAGTTCTTTAGCACTTTGAAGTTTATATTCAGTCAAGCAGATTGTATTCTTTGCAATGCAGTATGTTTTTCCGCTGACTATTCTTCCCAAAATGTTTAAGATATAAATAGAAATACATTCAGCCAACTATAATCTAATTTAATATTTCAGTTAATATATCTTCATGACACATTACAAAATACTCTCAACAAATGTACAATAGTGTGGAACAAAAACAAAGTTGCTGGAAAAGCTCAGCAGGTCTGGCAGCATCTGTGAAGGAGAAAACAGAGTTAATGTTTCGGGTCCGGTGACCCTTCCTCAGAACTGTTTTGTTTTTGTTCCTGATTTACAGCATCTGCAGTTCTTTCAGTTTTTATGTACAATAGTGTGGGTTGTTATAAACGCCTCCTGACTTACCAACAGATTCCTTCTGCCTGCTACACCACGTTGAGTCTTCCATTATCCTTTGAAAGCCCCTTCAGTCAATCTTCTGAGTACCTTGGAACTGATGTCCAGCAGCAAAGCACCTTCTACTAACTCCTTGGTCTTTAAATCTCTGCATGTCCTATCCCTTTAAACAGAGAATCCATTTCACTAGTGTTAAGTTTTGCAGTTTAACACCTTTTCCTTTGGCTTAGCACAACATCTGCTGTCTCAGCCTTTTTGTTTGCATTTCTCTCAGTCTGTGTCCTGAAAGACCAGCTTCCCTTCTTTTCATAGAATCATAGAATCCCTACAGTGTGGAAGCAGGCCATTCAACCCATCGAGTCCACACTGACCCTCTAAAGACCATCCCATCCAGACCCACCCCTACCCCATCCCAGTAACCTGGCATTTCCCATGGCCAATCCACCTAACTTGCACATCTTTGGACTGTGGGAGGAAATTGGTGCGCACAGAGGAAACCCACGCAGACATGGGGAGAATGTGACAAGGTGTGAAAATTGCTCTATCACTCTGGTCTGTGACTCTTTCCCAATGATAACCAAATCTGAGAAGCCCCTTTGTGAACAGAGTTCACCATGATTTCATCAATTCTCATTCCACCACATTTTACCTTAGATTTAAAGAGACAGTTTTAAACGTAATCACTTTATAAAGTCTCACAGTTTTAACATAGCATTCACCTGTCAACATGCAGAGCCACAACTTAGCTATTCAACTTGGACTAAGATTCCCAAACTTCCAAGAGAGGACGCAGAGGCAAAGATTTTGTGGGAAGATTTTGGCCAATTGGCATGAAGAGCAGCACATGATGTGTTATTTAGTGCCACAGCAAGATATGGAGATATATATTTTCAGCACCAAACAGCCATTCTGGGCAAAATCTGAAATAGGGAGGGGAGGTTGTTTTGGTAACTCAATATAATTTCGGGGGGGAGATACTGTAAATACTCCTACCCCCAGCCCACATTCCTGCACATTGGAACACAAGGACATTTTCTGCCAAATTTCAGAGCCACAGGCTATTTCGGCTGAAAGCGTTGCATTTCCCTCCACTGCTAAACTGGAGTGGCAGCCTCAAAAACAGGTTTTTGCCAAGTGATGAAGCAGTATATTCAGAACAAACAAAACCTGATGATGGCTTTCAGGCTGAGAACTAAAGCTAGTGATTGTCACTGTAATATGTAACTCACTGACATTATTCAACCAGGGCCACAGAGAAGGGCTCAGCAGAAATATTGCTTCACCATGGGCATCATAGACAGGTTTTGCATCAGTTCAAGGTTAGTACTAATGGCAGAATCAGGAGAATTTGGCAGTGATTATTGTAGCATGATCATCTGCAGGTCGGAATGACCTGTATGCAAAGTAACTGGGCTAGAAGTTAACTTACATTAGAAATAGATCAATGAGGCATCAACTCCAGCAGACAAGTTACCTGGAAAATAAACAACATATGAGAGTGAGTTTACTCAGTGCATAGTATAGGATGATACGTCAGTGCAATAGTAAGGGAGTGCTCCACTGTTGGTTCTGCTTCCTTACAGGTGAGATGTTAGTCCTGTCTGCCTGTTGGTGGATTTATATAAAAGATCCTATGGCTGTCTTAGAAGAGCAGAGGTCTCTTAGTGTCTTGATTAACACAAAGGGAAAAGACATCCTGTTCACTGCTGTTTTTTGGGATCTTGCTTTGTGTCAAATGGCACTTATGTTTGCCATAAAAAGGCCATTTAACTGTAATTTATTTTCTCTGAAATGGTCTTGAGTATGTTTGAATGAGAAACGACAACTGGAATTCTTACATTTGCTTCCCGAGATAACTAATTTGCTGTTCTGTGTTTAGGGTTGAACAGTTTGTTGAAGAGATTTCCCAGGCTGCACTCAGTCTGACCACTGTTCCTTCTCAGAGCTGTGACTGTGAGGATGCATTCCCTGGACGAGCCCTTGGATCTGAAGCTCAGCATTTCCAAGCTTAGGATGATGAGGGGCAAGAAACAGAGAGTATATGAGACGACAGAGGAGAGCAGTGCCCGGAGACAGTTGAAGATGACATCTGACAGGACAGCCACCATCACACCAGCATCTCCTCAGTCCGTCCAGTCTGGTGAGGGACTTTCTCATTTTCGTTAGCAGGCCTTTGTGCAATCAGGAAGTGATCTTTTTGATAGTAACAACTAATACTCATAGAAATCTGCAAGTATCCATCCCTTTTGGATGCTATATCCCGCCAATGCACAGATGCTAAAAACCATTGTTTGAACCTTGGTTGAACGTAGTACCTTCACCTCTGACACCACTGTGGTGAGAGAAAAAGATAAGAAACTGAATGAGCAGGAGAGCAAAGGGATGCAGATGAATAAATCATTAAAAGAAGCACTGCTGGTCAAAAAGTAATAAAACATCTAATGAAATTTATCTCAATGGCTATAGAATTCAAAAGCAGTGAAGATATATTAAACTTTTGTAAGATCCTGGCCAGGGCACACTGCACATGTATGGTCTCCATTTATGCAAAGGACAAATAAAACCTGCGCAAGTGCAAAATGAACTTGTTGGGATGGTACCAGAATTGAGAGAATTACAGCTATCAAGAAAGATTGAACAGGTTGAGTGATTTTATTTAGAAAAGAGAAGGGAGACTTGATAGAAATCCTTAAAATTTTAGATAGGACAGGAGTGGAGAGGATGTTTCTGCCTGTGGCTGAATCTAAGATGAGGCGCCATAAATATAAAATAGTTACGAATAAACCCAGTAGGAAACGGAGGAGAAATATCTATACTGGCTGTAGAACTTGGTACCGCTGGAAGTGTTTGAGCTTACTTTCAGGAGGAAGCTGGACGGGTACATGAGAGAAACAGATAGAAAATGATCCTGAAGATTGAGATGAGCTGGATAGACTAGGAGGAGAGTTACGGTGATGACAGTAATCAGCACAGATTATGGGTGTTCCCATTGCTGGATATTCAGTGCAGTTTTTATACAATTCCCCTGCTGCTAAGATTTGAACACAAAGTGTAGACTGATATTCCCTGAGCAGAAAGAGCCTGTGCTGTATTGTTGGAGGTGCCACCCATCAAATGAGACATTAAAACTAAGTATTTTTGCCCTCTTCCACAGTAACATATTTAAGAGCATTGGAATTCTTCCAATGTTAATCCCTCAAACAACATCGCTATAAGCTGAATATTTGTCCTTTATCACATTGCTTGTGAGGGAAAGTGATGTGCATAAATTTCCAGCCATGCTTCTTACACAGCAACAGTGTTCAAAAGTAATTCATTTGTTATGCACTTTGGGACATCATACGGGCTATAGAAATACAAGTCTCTTCTCTGTTCATAGTGGCAGGCTACTGAGAGTTAGAAGGCAAATCAGCTTTGGTGACTCTCACATCTGCCCCAAGAGTATCTCTATCCTTTCCCCTGGTCTGTTTTTGATACGCAGAGATGCTGAGTGACTCCAGCTCTCAGTCGAAAGCAGTATATTGCCTTTAGGGAGCCCCTTACAAGCTGTGAGGCAATAGCCAACATCTCCCACTGTGCAGCCTGTCTGAGATTTTCTCAGTAATTTGTATTCTTCAACCTTAGGAATCAGGATCCTGCACATAAAACGTTGCAATCCATAGGAAGTGAAAGCAAGACAAATGTTTAAAGTTGTCAAAGTAACGTAGAAAGAGGCTATTCAGTTCATTGTGTCTGCGTTGGCTCTTTGAGATTATGCAAATGGTTCCTTGTCTTTATTAATAAAGCTATAATGTTATCGTGCCAGAATATTATGTCAATCTTTATTAAAAAGCTGTCGGTATTTTTCACAGCCAGTGCCCAACTGCTAGTTGATGAGGTATTCAGTGATACCTATACCTCACTCTAAAACTCTCACTTTCTGTCTCTCCTGTGCCTACTTCAGGTCCATCTATCAGTTCCAAGGATCAGGAGAAGTTGGACTTGCATTTCTCTCCTGCCCGGAGGTCAGACTCCATTGTGGATCTCCGCCTGTCCCCAGGTTCTGGCCTTGACTCTCCTGCTGGAGCAGCTGCATTGCCTGAGGAGCTGCAGAATGGTGACGATGTGTCACCCAGTGTCAGTACTGTAAGTATCTGGGGCCTGGGCTGACAGCAAGAATGATGTACTGATTGCACCATCATGATTTGGAATGTCTCCCCAAGGCCTGAGGACATTGGTAGCATTTCAGCTGCCTGTCCAGCTACAACTTAACTGCATATTGAACCTGAAGCCTCTGTACTACATCTTTCAATGGCACGTTGAGACTTGCCTTGGTCAGTGTTCTCATTGTAATGTAACAACAATAGACCATCTCCTCCAGCCTGCTGAATAGGCTCCTTGTCAATTAAATTGAATGCGATATGAATAAATGGATGACCTGTACAAATGAGCAGGTGGAGTGTGTTCCTGACTCACCCTCTCGCTGCTGCTTTCTCCTTCCTCAATAACTAATACTGGGTGCTGTTGTTGTGGGATTTGGGGCTCATGTATGTAATAACAGATAGCTGGGAATGAATTAACGTCTGGAATTTAATCAAGGGATTTGTTGGGTAATAGTTAGAATAACATACTTAGGAGTTAATTAAAAGCTGGAATCCAGTTGAGGTGTTCAGGGATGTTATATATAGAGTAACAAGAGTGGGTTACAGACTGAAATCTTATTGAGGGTATTTTTTTAATGCAATAATGAGCACCCAATGAGAAACGGTGTCCAGGTTTACACTTAACCAATGAAAGCTGTGATCTAGGGAATGTGGTGCTGCATCTTCAGAAGAGAACCAGAGTTAAAAGAGGAGATAATGACGAATTAAAATGTTGCCATGTTGAATCTGCAGGAGCCGCAGCCAATCCGCTTTCTGGAAGGAAGTCAGAGTTCACAGACATTGCAGTTTTTCCTGCCACTGGGTTCCACCAGCCCAGGGCACCTACCATCCCCTTTACTGGTGACACCTCCGAAAGAAATGCAAAACCTGCTGGAGCTCCCGATGGAGCAGCTGGCCTGCAGGTGGCACAAGGTAAGTGGAAGCTGTCAGAGCCGCCCACTCTCTGTCGCCATGAGGGACACCAGGAATTCAGGAGTTCACTGCCTGTGTCTGGATCTGTGTTTCTCACTGCTGTTTGGTGCAGGCAGATTGGTATCAGGAAGGTTGTCATGGATTGAGGCCAGGCCTCTCCTGCAGCTTGCTTTGCACAGCTTCCAGCAAGATAGTTTTTGGAGCTGTCACATTGCTTGCTTAACTCTTACTCAGTTCAGTGCAATAGAAACTCTGATTCAAAAATGTTGCTGTAGAATTTGTCAAATAATGTCCATGACTCTGTGGGTTTACTCTCGGTCAGAATAACAAGACAGTTTTTAATTGCAGAGACTTGAGCAAAGGAAAATCCTCGTGGTCATTCTGTGTAGAGTACTGAAGGAACATGGCACTGTCAGAGGGCCAGGACTGAGGGAGCGCTGCGGCGTCAGAGGGTCAGGACTGAGGGCGCGCCGCACTGTCAGAGGGTCAGTACTGAGCGCGCGCCACACTGTCAGAGGGTCAGGACTGAGGGAGTGCTGTACTGTAGGAGGGTCAGGACTGAGGGAGTGCTGTACTGTCAGAGGGTCAGGACTGAGGGAGC